GTGACAAGTTAAGAAACTCTATTCTTGTTCTATAATCAAGAAAATAAGGTTTTGTGTCTTAAATCCTTTTCTGTTTTAGAGTAAATTTCGTTTAACTTAAAAGCAAATCATATTAAGTGGTGTTTGCTTACTTAGTTACCTCTGGGTATGTGATTTAAGGACAGGCACTGAAATTATGCCAGTATCTGAGGCAAATGATCAGGATTTTAAAATGTGAGCATAAATCAAGTAGAAATTTAATTAGAGCTAGTGAAGAGGTTTCAGTAACACAGCCCGTTACAAAATAAATAATACAGAAATCAATAACTTCTCTATCTTTAAGCAATAGTTGTTGGGAAATATAGTGGAAAAGGGCCTATTAACAATATCAACCCAAAATATAAAATGTCTAGAAATAAACTTTTTAAAATGTGAACGACTTAGATGAAGAAAACCACAAAATTTTATGGGGGCATATAAAAGATAATCTGCTTAATGAAGCTAGCTACTGAATATACAGACTCAGTAACATAAAAGTGACCTTTACCTCCAAATTAATCTATACATTTAATGCAATTCATAGTTACTCTTTAGGAGAAGGAAAGAGGGAAGGACTTGAGAAGTTTATGAAATTCAAATTGAGGAATAAATGTGTGACCTCCCATCCCTGTTGTTTTGTTAGGGAAGTATTTTGATGGAGTGCTTGCAGGAAAAGATGAAAATGTATAAATTTATCTCTTCCTGTAAGTTTAAAATGTTATGTGATGTGAAAATAAATAATTCTAGAGCTATAATCATTGAAAAGCTATTATACAACAGGGATAGGAAGAAAAAAATCAGTGAAATATTTTAATACACAGAAACAAACCTGTGTTTATGAAGGTGGCATTTTAAATCCATAGGGGAAGAGAATAAAATAATGAATAAATTAATTGTAATAGCTGACTAACTGTTGTTTGGCAGGGAAAGTTATTAAAAATTTGCTTGAAATATTAGTCATAAGAAATATTGCATGAATTAAAGGTAGAAAATGGTGATGGTAAATTTTTTAAGGCATAAGTGAATATGAAAATATGTAAATAATGTTTCCCAGATTGAATAGGAGAACATATACCTATGTATAATTTTTAAATGATATAGGCAAATGGTTCCAAAATAAAACGATAAGTTCTACAAATAAATATGCTATAGCCTTCCTGCCCTTGTCACCCCTTTCCCATACGCAGTGAACTACTATAATTGTATATACTCTTCCAGAGTTTCTTTACTAAATAAAAACTGTGTTCTTAGCCTTTCAAGTTTTAAAAAATATTTAATATTATTATTATTACTGGGTGTGTATGATGGAAGGGGCGCAAATGCAATGGCCTGCATGTGGAAATCAGAGGACAACTTTCATGGAGTCGGTTGGCTCCTTCCACCTTTACATAGGTTCCAGGGATTGAAGGCAGGTTGCCAGGCTTGCATCATCTTAGGGCAGTGTCTTTTCCCCACTGCTGCATACCAGAAGCCTCAACCTTCTACCTTTGTTGGCATAGATTACATATTCTATACAGTATTCTGTACCTTGCTTTTTGAATATTTAATTTTTATGTTATTTTATGCATATGCGTGTATTGCCTGTGTGTGGGTAAGTGCACCTGTGTCATGCACTGCCCACGGAGGACAGAAGAGGCCATCAGATCCCCTGGACCTGAAGTTATGGACAGTTGTTAGCTGCCATGTGGGTGTTGGGATTCGAACCCGGGTCTTCTGCAAGAACAGCCAGTATTCTTAACCGCCGAGCCATCTCTCCAGCTCCTACCTTGCTTTTTAAACTCATAACATTTATACAACACTTATTTAAAGTGTTTTGCACTTCATTTTATATCAGCAGTATATTGAGAGATTCTCCAGTACTTTTTCTATAGCAGTATAATATCCCTTGGTTTGGATATACTATATAATTTGTATATCTGATCTCTTTGTGATTGATATTTGAGCTAACATAAACAGTGATTTAGTACATATCATTTGTATTACATTTATTTGTATATATGTGGGAAATGGGGGGATGGGGGAGCGTGCATGCACAAGCCATGGTGTGCATGTAGAGGTCAGAGGATAATTCCCAGAAGTTATTTTCTCTCTTTCCACCAAGTGGACCCCCAACCATGTGGATTCCAGGGATGGAATTTAGATAATCAGGCTTGGTGGCTAGTGTCTTTTCTTGCTGAGCCATCTTACTGGCTCGGGTTATCATTTTACATGTCATTTCACAAGTATACAAAAAATGTTACATATTTATTTATCATGGTAAAATACACTTAACAAAATTGGCCACTTTTAGTATATAGTTAATCACTTTTCAATGTATAGTTCTTTGGCATAAAGCACTTTCTTTATGGATAAATTTCCAGAAATATTTTTGTTTTAAATGATAGGTGCATTTATAATGTTTAAAGCATTGAGCACTTATTTTCCACAGGAGTTGTACCAATTTACACTGTCCCTGGGAACCTGTGAGACTGCCTGTTTTTTTCTCGATGTCCTTAATAGAGTGTGTTACAAGTTTTTGACTTCTTGTCATTTATTACAGGAAGTTTATTTCAATGTAGTTACAATTTGCAATTTTCTCCTACAAATTAGATAGAAGACTTTTCATATGTTTAAGAGGGAAAGTTCTTTTAAACATGATATGGAGACATATACCTTAAAGGAAAAATGTTGGAAATATTTGGCTACCTAGAGAGTAAAAGCAAAATAAAAAGCCATTGGAGAACTAGGATGGGGAGGATTTACCTCATAGGAAAGAATAAATAGCCTTGATCTATAATGTTATTAAAAGTCAGTAGTAAGAGTTGAAGATGTTCCCTTATATTTCCAGTTCGTTGAGTATCTTTATCATGAAAGGGCGTTAGATTTTTGTCAAATGTTTTTTCCCCTTCTTTTGAAATGATAATGTGTTCCTTTAATAGCACCATAATTGACACATAATTCATTCACATCTTACAATTCAGCCTCTGAAATTGTACAATTCAGTGGTTTTTAATGCAGTCACAGAGTGTACAACTATCGCCAGCATGCAGTTTAAGAACATTTGCATTACCCCTAAAAGAAACCCTGAACCCAGTTAGCAGTCACTCCCCATTAACCCCTCCTGCAGCCCCTGGCAACCACTAATGCACTTTGTCTATGATTTTGCCCATTCTGTACATTTTGTATAAATAAAATTGTGCAATATGTAACATTTTGTGTCTGCTTTCTTTCATTTAGTTTACTGATGCCAAGGTTTGTTCATGTTATAGCGTATATCACCGTGGAATACATCCTGGTTAACTCTGGTAGACAAGAGAACTTAAAGCCTAACTCGTTCTAATAAAGCTACCTATCACCTCTTAATTATTTACCATCAAATCTTCATCTTGTAAGAGGAAATCCTTCAACTAGCACTACTTCATTTTCTGTTTTAAATAAAATTATTTCTTTTGTGGATAGCATGGGAGCTCTCTATTCTTACGAACAACCTTTAGACCTGGGCAAAATATTCCTCTGAGTAAATGCTTTGGGTGCTGAGCCATGGTAATAGCCACTGATCTTGATCACTTCTTGATGTGTGGAACTCAGCCCTACAAATGAATTCAGGCTAGATAATCAAGGTGTGGTGATTGGGACCCCACAGTTCTCAGCCCTGTATGTCATGGAGTGTCTACCCTATGGATGCAAGCTAGCTAAGGGAAGCAAGCCCCTGAACTCTTAGCCATATTCATAAGGAATTTTGCCCTTCACATCTGTGTTGGAGGTGCTCAGAAATGCTGGTTGCTTCCTGATTGCTCTGAGGTCCTGTATCTGTTGACTGAGAGATAGGCTAGAGGGCATCCGGTCTTCTCAGCAACTCTTATCTGGACTGTTACTTGTAGAAAATTGAGCAAAGGAATGGGCGGAAGGGAGTGAGTTATGGCTCATATTCCGTAGACTCGCATTGTTAGATTACTCACTTTTAACAGATTTTCTTAAATAAATGTCACTTCTTTCACTGTGCACCCTTAGGACAGTTTAAAATAAAAACTCCACTTTCCCCAGTTATGCATCTTTCACGCTGGAACAGGTCCAGAAAAGTTCTCATGCTGCATTTCTGGGGAGGGGATGTTTCTTTAATGTTGACTTTTAAAAACATTTTTTTCTTTTTTTTTATTTTATTTTGTGAGTATGGGTGTATTGCCTGCGTGTATGTGAGTGCACCCGTGTCATGCAGTGGCGCGGAGGTCAGAAGAAGGATTTGGATTCCCCTGGGACTGGAGTTAAGGACAGTTAGTAGCTGCCTTGTGTGTGCTGGGAATCGAACCAGGGTCCTCTACGAGAGCAGTCAGTGCTCTTAGCCGCTGAGCCCTCTCCAGCCCCTTAGTGTTGACTTTTTTGAGTGAAGTAGCATGTATTGTTGTAATGGTGCTAGAGGCTGACAATACTAGGCAACTCTGATGAACATTTATAAAATCAGGTTTTCACTATTTGTTTATTTCATAGGTTTAGTTCATGGTTACTTGCTTTTTCATTCTTTGTTTTGATTTCTCCATGTAAATGAATCTTGTTAAAATGATGTTTTACTTTTTTTTTGGTCTTTTTGACCCAGGGTCTCCCTGTAGCCCCCAGCAGTCCTGGAACTTACTATGTAGACCAGGCTGTCCTTGAACTCACAGAGATCCACCTGCCTCTGCCTCCCAAGTGCTGGGACTACAGGCGTGCGGCTACAGGCGTGCGCCACCATGCCTGGCTAACAATGATGTTTTACTTTTAAGGAGTTATTTTTACTTATTATTTTTTGCCTGTTACTTTGATTTTTTTGTGCAATAATATTGGTTGTTTTCTTCATCTACTATACTTGCCTGGTAAATGTCCTTAATACCCAAGGGTACAGGATACTCCATTTCTCTTGTTTTCATAGAGACCATATAATCAAGAACGCTTATTATCAAACTATTGAAGCAAAAATTATGGATCAAAATCCAAATAAATAGTCAATATTCTGTTACTTTGATTTTTAGGTTGTCTCTAGCATCGGCTGCTGTGTCCACCACTGCTAATTCAAGCACCATGATGTATACTGCAATGTCAAATGCATCTGCCTGTATGGCAGCCACAGGACTCGCATGTAAGTTATACTCATTTCAAAAAATTATTATTATTTCCCATGAGCTCACTTAACTCAGTTTTCCAGTAGAAGCTATGGATATCTGCATCTCATAATCACTATGTTTGAACCCATATATGACTGTTGCTGTCAATAGCTGCTTTGCCTGGAGCTTTTTGTGTTGCATTTAGCTGTAAGTTTATTATCATGGTTATTATGAGTTAAAGTGATACACTTTAGCATCTAATTCGTTAACACTGTGAGGATTTAGGACAAATCCTTGAAACTATTAAGAATAGAAAAAGTTTTGCTGAATTCAACCGATTGGAAGAAGTTCTTATTGTCTTTGTGACAAATAGAACATGGGAAAGAAGTGTTAGAGCCTTGCTATACGGTATTCTTATGTGTAGGCCAGATTTGTGGTCTTTCTGTTTTGCCTATTCAAAGTGGACCCACACTGAATGACATTTGTGAACACAAGTTAGGCTCTATAGGCCAAATATACATATACATACATGTATATGTACATATATATTATACAGTACATTAAATTGGGCAGCAGGTAGTAAGGGGAGGTGTGGATAGGGGAAAGGAGCTAAATACTATAAAATTATATTACATGAAAATCATAAAATTTCAATAAAAATTAAACAAAATTAAATCACACTGATAGTGAAAAATGGAATAAAAGTGAAACATAACAAAAGACCAGCTTCAGCTTTTGGTTCTGACTGACACTGTAATGTCATGACATTTCCATGTAGAACATCTATATGCTTTGAACAGAGAGGTGGGGCATGAACTGCCTTGTAATGCCAGCTTCTACTGTACACATCTTCTATTAGTAGAGTAATAACAAAAGTTAAAAATTTGTAATTCTACATCTATTTTAGGCAGTTCTTTCTTAGAGAGTCCTATAAGCTAACAGTGCTTTTGAAATATCTCCTTCACAGTGCCTTGATGTTCACCTCTAAACTTGGTTGAATTATAATCCTATCTGTAGTATGGATACCTTAAAATACTATAATAACAAGATGATTTCTAATCCTTAGTCTCAATCTCACCAGGGTATACTGATGCTTTATTGAACATGAATAGTGGCATATAATCCCCATCCTTATGTCTGTAGTTAGGAGCTAAAATTATTGCATTCAGCCAGACATGGCAGTACATGCCTACAATCCTATAATTTAAAAAGCTGAAGCAAGACATCTTGAGTTTGAGGTCAGCACAGTCTCAGAAACCAGATCTGTATATGTATACATGCACATACACACACACACACACACACACACACACACACACACACACACACGCGCGCGCGCGCGCGCGCATGCACTTTAAACTGAAAGACAGGGCATTAATTGCCTTGTAATGCCAACTTCTTTGTTACAGGCCAGTTCCAAAATCCATATATATTTATACACACACACACACACACACACACACACACACACACACATTTAAAGACTTGTTCTCTGACTTTTGACAGGCTTCTCTGTTTCCTATCTCTAATACACTTGTTTTTCTTTTTTTAAAAATTTATTGCATTGATAAGCTGGGTATGGTGGTGCACGCCTGTAGTACCAGCACTTGGGGGGCAGAGGCAGGTGGATCTCTGTGAGTTCAAGGCCAGCCTGGTCTACATAGTGAGTTCCAAGCCAGCTGGGGCTACAGGGAGACCCTGTTTCAAAAAGACCCAAAACTTTTATTGCATTTAGTTATTTATTGTGTGTTTCAGGGAGGTGCGTGATGGAGGTCAGAGGACAACTTATGGGAGTTGGTTCTCTGCTTCCACTATGTGGGTCCCAGGGATTGAATTCAGGTCATCAGGCTTGGAAACAAGTGTCTTAACCTCCTGGACCACCTCACCAGACCCACAGTATCATTTAATTACCTTGAATAAGTTATTATTTACATATCATAAAATTAACTTTTTTTTGGTCTTTTTTTGAGATAGGGTCTCTCTGTAGCCCCAGCTGTCCTGGAACTCACTATGTAGACCAGGCTTGCCTTGAACTCACAGAGATCTGCCTGCCTCTGCCTCCCAAGTGCTGGGATTAACTTATTTTAAGAGTTTAACTCAGAGATTTTTAAATTTAGCAAATTATGTACCCATCACTGTGTCTAGTTTTAGATAATCTATATCAACATAAGAGGATCTCTCAGCTAGATATAACTGCTCATCTTTTGTATGTCTACAGATTTGCCTTTTCTGGATATTGCATATCAAATGCCTTGACTATTTTTAAAGAATTTAACCAGAAGCTTAAAGAATTTTTCAACTGAGAACACTATATAAATTTACCATTGGTAGCTACTATGATGTTCTCTGTAGCTGATTGTCCAGAAACCTTTGGCTAGAACACTTGATAGTATAATTTTGCAATTCCCTGGAGGAGGTAGAACAGCTCCTAGTCCATTTAGTAAGATTTAAAAGTTATTGGGATATTAAGAAATTCATTGGAAATGACTATGCAACACACAGCAAGTAAGCAATAATTGTGCTGCTTGTGGGGCTGTTGTAGTGTGTTTTGACAATTTCATCAGAATATCCAAATGATACACTAAGAGATGATTGCCAAAGAATAGAAAGAGATAGTTGATATCAGTGATAGTTGCCTTTGACTGCAATCTGTTGTTGGACTAAAAAGTAATCTCATTGATATCCTGACTTGATCATTATGCATTGTGTACATGTATTGAATCACTGCATCCTGTACTTATGTATAAGTATTATTTATTGGTTCAAAATAATGATTAAGCTGAGGATATTGCCTATAAGTATAACTCTTGCCCAGAATGTGTTAAGCTTTCAGTTTTATCCCCCAATACTGAAAAAAAATGGAAAAATCACATCATTTCTCTGAGATGACTGCAGTCAAACCTGTTCCCAAATTCTTACCAACTTTTAAATTTAAGAATTTTTGTTGATCTCAGTACTTGGAAGGCTAAGGCAAATGATCATATGTTCAAGGCCAAGTTAGGCTACATAGTCAGACTGTCTCATTTCTGTCTTGCTATTCTCCATAGTGTCTAATGTATTGAAATCAAATTCACAGAGATTTTGTTATCTGAAAGTTAATTACCACTATAAAAGTTGATCATCTCCTAAAGTTAGTCCCAAATCTGTCCAAATTTGTTTTATGCCAACTAGAAGCTATGGTTGTAGATGCAAGAAATCATAGATGTCAATTTTTTTGTAGCTATTGTGAGCTATATGATTAAGGGTCAGTTTCCATTTAAATCTACCATTTTAGGAAAGTTTTCATTTTTTTGTTGTTATTTTGGTGGGTCTTTTTTTTTTTTAGACAGAATCTACTATATAACTCAGATTAGCCATAGCTCTTAGCATGGACCAA